CAGGAAACTCTTCTAGTTATAAAATTATATGTGTCCAAGTTGTTGAGAAAATGAACCCTAAAGGTGAGTTTTTAAAATATTTAAAGGATAGAGAATATCCTACTGAAAGAGGATTCAGGTTTACATTTACAAAATATTAACTACTCTCAATATTCCTGAGCAGAAAATGATAGTTTGATGATTTAGAGTAAAAAAAAATTCAAATAGTCTCTACTCCTAAGCTTTATATCACATTACTCAATAAAATAATTAAATCTAAAGGATTGGGTATTTTTGATGTATATTCTTTTCAAATTTTAAGCAAGATTGCCTAATCATAAAAGTGAACATAAATACATCATTTTCAAAATAAAACTATACAGTACAAAAGAGCATAATACTACACCAAAAGCTGGGGAGGATGCAGAATAACAGGAATTCTCATACACTGGTGGTGGGAATACAAAATGGTACAGCCAATTTGGAATACAGTTTTTTGGTTTCTTATGAAACTAAAAATACGCTTACTATTGTGAAATAAAATTCACATTTTATGGCAAGACCAGACAAACTTAACCATAAAACCTTTTCTCTGCCTTTTGGCCTCCTCTCTCCCCTCTCCTGTGCGTTGCGTTGTGTATCTATCTGCCTTATGTGCCTACCAGACGTCCCCCATCAGCAGAAATACGTTCTCAACTGTAAAAAGCAACATTCTCTTAGCATGAACAAGACAAACCCTTAAAAGATAGCATTCCTTTTTGATTTGTAAGGGGCCACTATGACACTTAGATCTGGATTGTGTATGCTGTCAATAATATGTCATTTAGTGCACAGCCCCCCGTCTTAAAAACTGTATGTAACTGTCCCCTGACTTCTCATGGATGGAAGAGCTCTTGGAGCTTTCTGAGATGCTGTTCCTGAGTTCTAATCCTTAATTTGGCTAGAATAAAATTTTCCATTTCTCTCTTAGATCGACTGATTAATTTTTTTGTCGACACTATAAAATCCAGTAATTGTGCTCTTTAATATTTACTCAGAAAAGTTGAAAGCTGAGAGTTCTGGTTTAAGATGATGATATAGGATGCTCCTGAACTTAACCTCCTCCCACAGACACAGATACAGAAAGAGCAATTGCTTCTTAAAGAAACCCAGAACCTAGCTGATTAACTCCTACACATCAGGCAAATGAGAAAAAACTCATACCAAGACGTGTCTGAAAGATCGAGATACACGCTCGCCATAAACCCCACACCCAGAATGGCAAAATACAGTTGGAAAGGAAATCTCAACTCCCAAAGCAAAGGATTTGGACCAAACATCTAGTGCCCCCCCCCCCTTTAAAACTTCCACCTGAGTGAGTGGTACCCAAAACACCTAGCTCTAAAAGACAATAGGGCTTGTGTCCACAAGACCCACAGGACTATTTGCAAACAAAGAGACAGCTCTTAATAGGCTTACAAGGATGTTGTGGCCTCCAGGGCTCAGTGCAGAGAGAGCAGGCAGAAACGCCTATGGCCTTTTTCTTCCCTGAAAGAGGTTTTTTGCTTACTTTAAAAGCTGCTGCCTGAAGGTCTGGCTTCCAATCCAGTATTTTTAAAATTTGATACTATCCACAGCCATCTCTAGGTTCATTGCAGTCCCTATCAAAATTTCAGTGGCATTTCTCACAGAAAAAATAAAATCCTAAAATTCAGATAGAACTACAAAATATTCTGAATAACCAAAGCAATCTTAAGAAAAACAAAAGTCTTGTGGTTACCAAGGGGGTGGAGGGTGGGAAGGGATAGACTGGGATTTCAAAATTGTAGAATAGATAAACAAGATTACACTGTATAGCACAGGGAAATATACACAAAATGTTATGAAATGTGACAATGAGTGTGTATATGTCCATGAGTGACTGAAAAATTGTGCTGAACACTGGAATTTGACACAATATTGTAAAATGATTATAAATCAATAAAAAATGTTAAAAAATAAAAGAAAAACAAAAGTCTGAAGACATTGCAAATCCTAATTTCAAACATATGGTAAACAAAATAATATGGTTTGGCATAAAAACAGACACATAGACCAATGGACAGAATCAAGAAACTGGAGATAAACACTCTCCTATATGGACAGTTAATTTGTAACAGTGGAACCAAGAATATACAACAGGGTAAGTATAGTCTCTTCAATAAATGGCGCTGGGAAAACCAGACAGCCACATGCAAAGGAATGAAACCTGACCCCCATCTTACGCTATACACAAAAATCAATTCAAAATGGATTAAAGACTTGAAATCATAAAACCTTTAGAAGAAAACATAGGGAATAAAACCCTTGACATTAGTCTTGGCAATGATTTTCTTTGGATTTGATACCAAAAGCATAAGCAACAAAAGCAAAAATAAACAAGTAAGATTGCTTCAAACTAAAAAGCTTCTGCACAGCAAAGGAATCCATCAATAAAACAAAAAACAACTTATGGAATTGGAGAACGTATTTGCAAACCATTTATCTGATAAAAAGTTAATATCCAAAATATATAAAGAATTCACACAACTCAATATCAAAAAAAGATCAATCCATTTAAAAAACATACCTGAATAGACATTTTTCCAAGAAAGACATACAAATGACAGACACACAAAAAAATGCTCAACGTGACTACTAATTTAGGAAATGAAATTCAAAACCACAAGGAGATATCACCTCACATTTCTTAGAATGGTTGTTACC